ATTTCTGTTTTACACATAATGACACTGAGGCATAAGGAGGTGTCAAGTAGCTTGTCTAAATCACAGTTGGAAATGGTAGAGCTAAAATTCAAACACAGGCAGAGAAAGAGCTAACTAGCTAGATCTCCATATTCGAAATCTTTCTCAGGGCATGTGAACGCACACACACATATATACACTTAAAAAGATCTCTGTAGGGTGTGCCTAGGACAGCTTTGATTAAAGAAAATAATGATAGCTAATGTTTGTTGATTTTTATGGGACTTAGTGACTTAGTGGGAAAAGGCTTAAAGAAAAGTAAATAGTCAGGAGGAGTATAGAAGAGGAAAATGAGAAATGAAGTAACTGAATTGCATTTTCCTCTGAGGTCTTATGACAAACTTTTGCTTTCCAGTCTAGCGCAAAATTCTAACACTTAATTCTTCTTTTAGAGGTGCCTGTAGCAGAAATTCTGGTTAGGGTTTAAAACTTCATAAAGTCAGTAATGATGAAAAGTATAAGCTTTCAAGGAGGGTTTACTATATTATGTGGTGTAGCATCTTTATTTTCCTTTCCCTGTAAGCTAATTTGGCACCTTTCTCTCTGGTCCCACTTCCCCAGCTCTGGTCTGAACACAGAGCTCAAGCAGTTCCCATCCGCATCCTGGTTGCTGGGCTCTTATGTTTAGTCAGATTCACAGTATGTCTTAAACTGAAGTCAATTTTTTGGGGGGTTATTAGCTAAACTTCTAAGGAGACTTTTAAGAAATTGAGTATAAAAACTTTAAAACTTAGTTTTAATTTTATTTAATTTACAGAAATACCTTATGGTTTTTGAAATGTAAGAATCTTTAAAAAGAAACAAATATACTTTGGCAGTCATTTTAAATTCAGAATTGTTGCAGATCTATTTTTGCTTAATTTTTTTCTTAATTAAACTATCACTTTGAATGAAAAGAAATGGACATCGGGTGTATTCGGCTGATCTTCCATTTCACAACTAGATGTCAGTGTTAACATACCTGACTAGCTGTTTCAGGTGTGATTAGAATGAGGTAATTCAAGTAATTACTCACCTAGATGAGATACAGTTTAGAAAAAAAAAGATAAAGAAGGAAAAGAAGAAAAAAATAAGTGACTTCCCTTATGTCTAAGCAGGCCAGTTAATTTTATATTTGCAATTTTAAATATTGAGTATCTTCCCCACCTTAGCTATGCAAGAACAGTTAAACTTTTTGATTTATTTGGTTAGGGAAGGCAGGTAGAGTGTGAACTTGTACATTTTTACTACTCCCAACAGAGGTTCTTCTCTTAAACTTTTCCAGGAAGTGTGATCAGAAAAAGAAGGAAGATAATTACTATTAGAATATGATATGTGTGTTTGTGTGTGTGTTTTCTGCCCACCTCAATAAGAAACATGCTCGAGAGCAGGGATTGTGCATGGATTTTGAGTGGCACTGCTGACATCTCACCCAGGAGTCTCTTTTAACGTAAATAAATCTGCCTTTTTCAGTTGAAGTTTCATGTATGTGGGAGCATGATACACCTTATCCTTTCCTTGTAGATCCAATCTGACAGTCTTTTAAAATCACTTATGTTGCATTTCTCTAACTAGGATGTCTCACCTTTTAATATGCTTCCTGTTGATAAATATGCAGTCCAGAATAATAACTGAAATGCCACGAATGAAACCCAGGTAAGGTCAAAGTACTGCAAAACACATCCTCTCCTTCTGCTGCCACTGAACTATCCTGTGGTTCCTGTTTCCCCAGTTCTCTCCTCTTTGAGAATTACTACCCCTGGATCACCTGAGTGATAGATCTCACTAGGCAAAAATCTGTTGAATTGTATTCATTTGATATTTTTAGTTAAACATCTTAAAAATCTGTGTATGCAGTTTAACAAAGATTTTTGGAGGCTATAGGCTTAAAGTGTACAGTTAGAATATCAGGACAACCTGTCTTTGGAGCTTAATTTTAGATTTTTTAGAATTGACAGGCTTGCTTTTTTAAATTGTTATTTATAAGTTTAATTTTTCCTTGGAAACACACCCATACCTCCCAAACAATACTGTTTTGAAAAAGAAAGCTGAATTAGTGTCAGTTAGATCTTAGTGTGTTCACTTTCATCATGGAAATAACTTTTTAAGTCATGCGGTCCTAATTTTATAACAATCTAGAATGTGCAAACAGTGCATTTGTTTATTGACTTTAAAAATCTATTGTTTCCTGAGAAAGAATTTTCGGTTCATCAGTTCTTGCATCACCACAGAAAATACTCATTTGACACTTGCTTTTTGTTGGTCTTTATGTCTTGCAGGCACATAATACAAGAACATAAAATTAATTATTGATTATGGTACAGATTCGGCACATGTCTTTGGATTTTCAATCAGCCTGAAAACAGAGAAGAGTCATACGCATCAACTCCAGGCAATCCCAGCTTGCTGCATGTGTAATAAAAATGCAAGCAGGCTACATCTTGCTAATTGCAGTTTATCTTATTTAGCAAAACAATAGTTTAATGAAGTTTATTCAGCCCCTAGATTTCTTAAAGTGATTAGTAGTTGCTTAGTTCTTGACCTGGGTTATAAGGTTTGTGATTTTGCAGAGTGGTCCTTATATACTAATATTTTTGTTAGTTTTTTAAAAACCTTTCTTGATTTGTGTTGTAAGTTCTCTCTGATGCCTCTGACAAAGATATAATTTAGAACTTAAATTTACTCTGTGTGAAGGCAAGTGAACCAGTTATTGAATTTAAACTCAACTGGAGGCAGCTACCTATGATGTTACCGACTGGACCTTTAAGTTTCCAGTGATTTATATACAAGGCAGCAGGAGATCTAGAAGGGGGCTCAGGGTCTCAAGCCTAGTAGACACCTAGTAAAGACTTACCTAGACACATTTATGCCCTTGTCTCTCTGACGTCATCTTTTCTAGGCCTCAGTGTCAGGTTGTGATTGTTTTTGGAGTGTGTAGGAACCTCCCTCCTTGCCCCGTCTTCCATAATGTGGGTCTGCCTGCATCACGGGGGCCTGCCTGCGGCGTGAGCCCTAGCTCCTAACATCCTAATATTTTTCTTTTTCATTGTCTGATATTTGGGCTGCCTAATTTAACTCTTTAACAGGAATGGTTATTCAAGAAATAGCTTTTTGGAACTACTGTGTAATTTTGTAACAGTTTCTCTGATGATTTTCCTGAGAACGCTCCAATAGTTTTATTTTTAAAAACTCTTCACATTTTCTACTGTTTTGGGGTAGGGTTTACACATAATTGGATTTGTATGTGTTTGGGGGAAGAAGTGCAAAGAGGGTGGTAATTGCAAAATACAACAGCAGCTACGTTTACACAGTTCAAATTTTGACTGTCACTGGAGGACTGTGGCTAAATTTTCTGAATCTGAAAGCATTTTGAAAATGCCTTTCTTTAGCAGCGGGACAGAGGGGCAATGAAGAAGCTGTGCTCTTGCAATTATTTCCCTTACTCTTCTTACATTCTCTCCTGGTCTGTTAAAATGTTTAATTTTGGATCTGTGAAGTTTCTACATTTGGATACCAGTTAATTTTGCATCTCATTTAAAAACTTACCTAAATCTTCAATAAGTGTTTTGTGATATGTGAGTTATATCTCAATAAAGCTATTAAAAAATTTTTTACTTAAAACTGACCAAAACTTACCTAAAGGCATATTTATAAATTTCCAAGTGATATGGCTCTTAAGAATCTACTTCACTTTTCAATTTTTGTTTTGTTTTACTTTAGGAAAACTTTTCATTCAACTCCTAAGTGTATATCTTGCCAGAGGGAGGGAAGCAAATATAAGAGATAATGACTAAAACACTTAAATCTCATTTTTAGCATCAGAATGCTGTTGGGAGATGAACTAGAAGTGTATAAATGTTCCACTTCAGGCCTGGCTCCTCCTGGCCTGGGTGTCCACCTACAATCTGAGATCTGGCTAGAAAATTGAGGAAGGGAGGAAAGGTACTAGAAAAATTCTGCTATTTTTGGCTTCTCTCTGTTGCAAGCAAATTGATGTCAAGAACTTTACATTTTAAGACATGCCATTTTTCATTACAGAAAGTTGTATACCTGCACAAGTGGTGGCTGCAGTTGATGTAAACACTGTTGCTAATGAGGTGTACAAGTACAATTTTCCTCACACACAGCTCCTGGCCAAGACAATTGAGGTGAGTAACAATTATTGTTTTAATAAGTGTATGTAGCAGGAAAATATGACTGAGGATTACTGCAAGATACTGGCTTCTTGTTTCTTCATTTGAGGATAAGTCACATATAAATGAAGACGTTTAGGAGAAGGGGATTAACATTTTATGTTATATCAGAAGATAGCATGTTTTTTGCTTCTTTTAAATTTGCAGCTTTAGAGAAGGATGATCAGTATTTTGGTCTCTGAGAAAAAGGATTGAAATGTAAGGATATGCTTAACTTCTAAATGTTTGGTTCTGTAGTGCTATTAAACTTTAATTCTTTACTTTTAAGCAATACTCACGTACTATGTATATAGAATATATATATATATATGTAGCAGGAGTGAAAAAAAAAGTAAAAAGAGTCATTGGGTATTACGACTGAATGTGTCTTGTTTTAGCCTGCCTGTCAAAGTTAAAGGTTCTGTTTCACCTGTGACAAACTCAGAAGTATTTAACGTTGATGTACATTTGTTAGTTTAAAAATAGTATGAAATTGTGTTTTTCTCCCAATTCATGTTGTGAAAAATTTTACACACAAATTTCTCACGAAGCAGTAATTTATATATAATAAGCTGCACTCATTTTAAATGTGTAGTTTGAGTTTTGACCCCATATATACGACTGTGTAACCACAGGTGAGACTTAGAACATCCATCACCCTAAAACGTTCCTTAGTACCTTGTGTTGGTTAGTCTCTGACCCCAGCTCCGGGCAACCACTGATCTGTTTTCTGTATTACAGATTAGATTTTCTATTTTTAGCATATCATAAACAAAATCACGAGTATAATTTTTTTCAGTGTTAACTTCTTTTGTTTAGTGTAATTTTTTTTAATTTACCCGTGTTGTTGTATATATCAGTAATTTACTCTTTATTACTGCTCAGTAATATTCTGAGTTTGTATGTCCATTCACATGATGTTAGACATTTAGATTATTTCCAGTTTTTGACTATTATAAACAGTTGCTATGAAGATTCACGTACAAGTTTTTGTGTGGACTTTTGTTTTTATTTCTTGTGATAAATACCTAGAAGGGGAATTGCTGGTAAATTTCTTTAACTTTATTAAGAAAATACCAACTGTTTTCCATGGTGTTTCTATGATTTTACAGTTGCACAATCCATGTTTAAGTATTTCACTTGTTTCACAGTCTTCTAAATTATAGCTACTCTAGTGAACATATAGTGGTATTGTGATTATAATTTGTATTTCCCTGGTGACTAATAATGTTGAGTATCTTTTCATGTGCTTACAGGACATTTCTATGTCTTCTGTAATGAAATTTCTTTCCCATTGACTATTTAGAATATTTGTATTATTATCATTTAGTTTTAATAGCTGTTAAAGTTGTCTGGACTCAAGTTGTTTGTCATAATATGTAAAATAAATATTTTCTTTAATTCTATAACTTATCTTTTCATTTCCTTAACTTGATTTTTTCCTGTTTGCTTCCAGAAGTTTTATAGTTTTGGCTTTTATGTTTAGGTTTATGACTCATTTAAAGTTTCTTTTTGTGTGTAGTCTGAGGTAGAGGTCATTTATTTTTTTCCAAGCACACATAAAATTGCCCTAACACCATTTTCTTGAAAGACTATCCTTTCCCCAATTTCCTTGACACCTTTACAAAAAAAATAGATCATGCATATGTGGATATATTTCTGGATTCTCTCTTCAGTTATATCTATATGTTTGTCCTCACAGCAATAACACACGTTTGGTTATTGCAGCTTTACAGTGGGTATTAAATTCAGGCATGATAAATTTCCAAACTTCTAATTTTCTTTTCCAAGATTATTTTTGCTATGCTGTCATTTACATTTCTATGTAAATTTCAAAATCAGCTTGCTAGTTTCTACAAAAAAAAGATATTTTGATTGGAATATCACTCATTGATTTTGGAAGAACTAATATCTTCACAAAATAGAGTCTTCCAGCCCATGAAAATGATCTTTCTCTTCACCTGTCTAGGTCTTCTTTAATTTGTATCAGCTACATTTTGTAGTATTTAATGTACAAGCCCTACATGAACTTTTGTTAATTTATCCCTAAATATTTGTGGGGTTTGGTGCTATTATAAGTGGTATTTTTTTAAAATTATTTTCCAATTGTTTTTTGCTACAATGTAGAAATACACTTATTTTTACTTATTGACCTAGTATCCTGAGACTTGGCTATATTGACTTAATAGTTCTGGTAGCTTTAATATTGATTCTGTAGGACTTTTTTTTAACATGTACAATTATATTGTCTGAGAAAAAAAGAGTTTCACTTTTCCCTTCCAATCAGTGTAATTTTTTTTTCTTGCCTTATTGCATTATCTAGGACTTTGACAGTGTTTAATAGAAAGTGTTATATTGGACATCTTTGCCTTCTTCTAGATCTTAGGGGAGAACATTCATTTACCATTTTATAGATGTTGCATATTTTTCATAGATGACTTATATCAAGTTGAGGAATTTTCCTTTTATTCCATTTTCTGAGAATTTTTATTATGCATGGATTTGAGTTTTTCAAATGCTTTCTTTTTGCATCTTTTGACATGATTATATCATTTTCCCCTTTATTCTGATAATATGGTAAACATATCCATTACCTTTTTTGAACATTAAGTCAATATTACATTCCTGGAATAAATCCTACTTGTCATGATAGTAGCATTTTTATGTATTGCTGCATTTCACTTGCTAATATTTTGTTAAGTATTTTTGCATTTATCTTTATAGATGATTTTTATAGTTTCCTCATAATGTGTTTGTATGATTTTGATATTAGGGTAATATGAGCCTTATATTCTCTGTAAGAGTTTGTGAAGAACAAGTATTGATACTTTATATAAATGATAGAATTTTATCAGTGGAACCATCTGGGCCTGGAGTTTCCTTTGTAGGAAGGTTTTTAACTATGAATTTATTTATTGCTATAAGACTATTGAGGCTATTTGAAGAAATTTATCTTTTTTAATCTAATTTGTCAAATGTATTGGCATAACATTGTTCATCATATTTCCTTATATTTTTTTATCTGCATGATCTGTAGTGATGTCCAGTATGTCATTCCTGATATTAAGAATTTGTATCTTTTCTGTTTTTCCCTCTATTAGTGAAGCTGGA